TATTTTTTATTGATTTTTTTATTTTTTTAAATAATTTTAAAATTTTTCATTTAATAAAAATTTAAATTTATCACTCATAAATAATAAAAAAATTTGTTTACAAATTTCACCAAATATACTTTAAAATACTTTAAAATATTGGCAATTTAGGTTAGTTTTGATTGCCTCAAAAAAGTCTAGAAATCACTATCCAATTTCACAAAGAAAAGAGGAGAGCGGGATATCGTCGCGTACCGTCTTTTTCGTAGTTTTTTTTTTTTTTTGATAGAATAAAAAAAAAAAACTTCCGAGCCTTTTTTATAGTTAAATCATAGTTAAAACCTCATCTTACTCTTTTTACTTTAATAAAAATATTTTATTCTAGTTTTTTTTTACTTAAGAAGAGTCTATTTTAATTCTTAAAATATATTATATGACCTATTTTAGTCATTTTGTTATTTTTTTTAATATGTAACACATTATATGATAAAAATTTTAAAGTAGAAAGACTAAAAAAAAATTATTTTTATCTTATAATTTTTATTATCTAACATGTCATTTATATAAAAAAAATAAGAAAGAAACTAATAAAAGATTAGATAATAAACTTTAAGGACTATAAAGTTATTTTCTTAAGTAAATAAATTAAAAAGAGACATTTTATTAAAATAAAAGAGTCAAATCTCTTGTGGTATTTTAGAACTAGCATAATTAATGGATGGTTTCGCAATAATGATGCTATAATTGACCTTAATATGCACAAACATTAGTAAAACTGATCCAAACTGCTTTCCTTTTTCTTAATTCATGGATGATGGTCATTGATGAAATTGGACTTTACCCCCTTTTTTTTTCTAAATGGATTTATAGGAGTAATCTATGGGTAACGATAAGATGTGTAGAATATTATAGTAGCCTACTTTATCCAATGAGTCATGGTAAGCTTTTTGGTCAACATCACCCTGAAATAGACCCTACATCAGAATGAGAACGCAAAGACATGAATGGTTGGATGAGGGAAAATAA